GCTATACAGTAGACTAGTTGATGTATTATCAACCAGATATACTGTAGACAAGTTTATGTATTATCAACCAGATATACTGTAGACAAGTTGATGTATTATCAACCAAATATACTTAGACTAGTTGATGTATTATCAACCAGATATACTGTAGACAAGTTTATGTATTATCAACCAGATATACTGTAGAATATTTGATGTATTATCAACCAGATATACTGTAGACTAGTTGATGTATTATCAACCAGATATACTGTAGACTAGTTGATGTATTATCAACCAGCTATACTTAGACTAGTTGATGTATTATCAACCAGCTATACTGTAGACTAGTTGATGTATTATCAACCAAATATACTTAGACTAGTTGATGTATTATTAACCAGATATACTGTAGACTAGTTAATTTATTATCAACCAGATATACTGTAGACTAGTTGATGTATTATCAACTAGCTATACTGTAGACTAGTTTATGTATTATCAACCAGCTATACTGTAGACAAGTTGATGTATTATAAACCAGATATACTGTAGACTAGTTGATGTATTATCAACCAGCTATACTGCAGACTAGTCGATGTATTATTAACCAGATATACTGTAGACAAGTTGATGTATTATCAACCAGATATACTGTAGACAAGTTGATGTATTATCAACCAGATATACTGTAGACAAGTTGATGTATTATCAACCAGATATACTGTAGACTATTTGATGTATTATCAACCAGATATACTGTAGACAAGTTGATGTATTATCAACCAGCTTTACTGCAGACTAGTTGATGTATTATAAACCAGATATACTGTAGACTAGTTGATGTATTATAAACCAGACATACTGTAGACAAGTTGATGTATTATCAACCAGCTATACTGCAGACTAGTTGATGTACTATTAACCAGATATACTGTAGACAAGTTTATGTATTATCAACCAGATATATTGTAGGCTAGTTGATGTATTATCAACCAGATATACTGTAGACTAGTTGATGTATTGTCAACCAGCTATACTGTAGACTAGTTGATGTATTATCAACCAGCTATACAGTAGACTAGTTGATGTATTATCAACAAGCTATACTATAGACTAGTTAATGTAGTCTATAGTGACTAGTTAATGTAGTCTATAGTGACTAGTTAATATATTATCAACCAGATAAACTATAGACTAGTTAATGTATTATCAACCAGATAAACTATAGACTAGTTAATGTATTATCAACCAGATAAACTATAGACTAGTTAATGTATTATCAACCAACTACATCCCATTTATGAAACCGGGGTTCATGACGATACTTTTGGGCACTCACTCCATGCTAAAAGGAACACTTAATTTCATGCTACATAAATAAGAATATCTACAGTGATAACCAGAAAACTCTGGAATAGAATGACGACTTTATAACAATACTCAAGTGAATTTGATGTTGTTACAAAGAATATGATTTAACCAGACACTTATCAAATCACATATTAACTGAAATGGGTCTGTTTACATCGTATAATTACTGGTTCCGTGCTCATTGGACTTTTTAAACTTAAAACTTGACTCTAAATGTCGTATTCCTTTTTCAGTGTTTTCTGGTTATCACTGTACTTAATTCTTTCATCACTCGGATATATAAAGGTTACTGTTGTAAATCGGACATGCTACTCTATGAAGGGATAGTCAGCTGAAATATGTTTTATTTGTCTCCATTTAGCTAGCACAAAAAAACTATTGATGCATGAAACTCCTTTCTGAGTAACCTGAATTGCTTTACTCGCGATTCTACCAAATAATTGCAGTTTTCTCGTTGCAAACATTTTGCCAGGAAACAGCTGAGGACAACACAGCATGCAATATTAAGGACAAAGAAAAAAGGAATTAGTCGATTTTATGAAAATTTGATTTCTAGCTCAAAGGAATTTAGTCTTTGCCACAAACTCAATTTTTCTAATCCTTTTTATTATATTTATTAAAATATCCAGTATCTAGTATATAGTATCCAGTATCCAGTATACAGTATCCAGAGCTGAAAACTTTAGAATGTGATATCCTTAATCCCGATCTGTTAATTAATCTGGAGATTAAATTCATGAGGAGAACAAGCAATATTTAATCTGGAGATTAAGAAAAAGAGTGGATTAAGCATTAATCCCGATATCCATCATTCTAAAGTTTGTATCTCAGTATCCAGTATCCAGCCTCCAGTATCCAGCATCCAGTATCCGGCATCCAGTATCCATTATCTAGTATCCAGTATCCAGTATCCAATTTTCAGTATTATGAATATGTATGAAACAATCAATTACAGAAGCTTTGAATTTGAATATAAAGAATAGGAATAGTTTTCATTCAATCATAAAATAAATGATGTATCATATTCCTCTACAACCAGAATCAAATTATACACACACCACTTTCATTTAAAGGTTGCAAGCTCAGAAGTAAAAATCAATTCGAATTTTGCTATTTACATTAACCTATAATGTACATGTACAGGGTTACAGAAAGAGCGGTAAAAATAATTCCCACGACGCGTTGCGACACTTCAAGTAGGCCCTGTATTAAAAATTGATGAGACTTTTTATAGGCAGGCTGAATCTATGTGACACATATATACTGAAATGTGTGAAATATCACTTTCCAGTAAACGCTACTATTTCTTCGGTCAGAGTACAGCAGATTTCTGAAGAACATACCGAAAGCTTAGTTGAGGGTGATTACAGGAAGTAGTCCCAAAATAAACGCAACTATATTGACAAGTAACCGAAGTAACCACGAAATAAGTAAAAATTAGGAAATAAATCTAAAAAATTCCTGGATTTGATGATTTGATGAACTGAATTTGTTCACAACTATGATGTTGAAAAAGTGAAGAAGTTTAGCGTTCTAATGTAAGCGGTTTTTGAATTAAATTGAACCTCCCCCCCCCCAAATCGTGATAGGGGTAAATTTTGATATTCCACCAATGCATGGAACCAGGAAAGACTAGACTAAGAGGAAAATCATCAAGCTGAAATGACGGGTGAAGTGCCTTGTAAATCCAGATTTAAATAGAGTTCTTATTGAGTCATAACTTTGCCAAATAAATTCCATTTTGTTATTCACCGTCGTCGTGGTTTTACTTTTAAGGGACCACAGTATTGTATTTACGAGGGAAACCCTAATTTTTTCACCGTAAAATAAATTGTACACTTTAGGCTTAAACCATTATGTATTCATATATACGCTTTAGTATGTTGAGTGCATATATTTTACAAGCTATATAAAGTTTTGATAATGTTGCAAAAACAAAATGAATCCCATGCAGCGATGCATGATGCATTGCTGCACTTTTTGCAAGGTTAATACACTTATATCAATCTCAATTTATGTATATACAGGGTTACCCACAAAGGATGAGACTTCAGAGATGACTTTGCGGAAGTTCTACTGTCTGCTTCCTTATTTTCAGGATTCTCTCTTTTTTGTTTCTCCCTTTTTCAAATTATTATATAAGCCAGAACTTTTCTCCCTTTTTCAAATTATTATATAAGCCAGATTATTTCTCTCTTTTTCAAATTATTATATAAGCCAGAACTTTTCTCTCTTTTTCAAATTATTATATAAGCCAGATTATTTCTCTCTTTTTCAAATTATTATATAAGCCAGAACTTTTCTCTTTTTTTCAAATTATTATATAAGCTAGATTGTTTCTCTCTTTTTCAAATTATTATATAAGCCAGAACTTTTCTCTCTTTTTCAAATTATTATATAAGCCAGATTGTTTCTCTCTTTTTCAAATTATTATATAAGCCAGATTGTTTCTCTCTTTTTCAAATTATTATATAAGCCAGAACTTTTCTCCCTTTTTCAAATTATTATATAAGCCAGAACTTTTCTCTCTTTTCAAATTATTATATAAGCCAGAACTTTTCTCTCTTTTTCAAATTATTATATAAGCCAGATTGTTTCTCTCTTTTTCAAATTATTATATAAGCCAGATTGTTTCTCTCTTTTTCAAATTATTATATAAGCCAGATTGTTTCTCTCTTTTTCAAATTATCAACTAGGTGGGGGGGAGAAACTCGGTTTGCACCCCACCTAGTTGACATTAAACAGTTTAAATAAACACATTTTAATAACAAAATCTGTGATTAGAATTCTGCCAACTAATCTTTTTAAATCTGACACTCTAAAAAAATATTCATATTCTGGGCTTCTAAAAAATAAAGAGCCAAAAATGACAATACAAAGGTCAAAGTTTGGCCACAGTTTTTAATGTGAAAGGGGTTGTTCAAATATTTTGGTGATGCGGGAGGTTGTATTATTCGGAATGAGCCAAATATTACATAATCAGATTGCACCGTTTACACGTTTGAACCGAAAGAATAATATTCAAAGTCTAAACAATTTGTACCTCCACACGCAAATCTGCCCCTTTAGTAAAAGTAAATTCAGCCTAAATGAAGCATAAAGTCTGACATTGTTGCACCCGCTAGTCCTGTCCATAGAGCTAGGTACAGTACAAACTGGGACCGGAATGGTTGACCCGGCTCGGAAATTCAAATGTACTACGGCTGCCCGTGTCCAATCTTCCCAAATATCTGAAGCATACTTTTATCTTGCATTAACATTGAAATCAAAAAGGGAAAGACCTTTCTTAAAAACGAGAACTCTCCCTTTAAACTCCCTGGACACTCTTTAATTTGCAAGGAACGCTCCCTGGACTCCCTGGACACTCTTTAATTTGCAAGGAACGCTCCCTGGACTCCCTGGACACTTTGTAATTTTCAAGGAACTCACTCTGTGGTTTACAGCTTTATCTATTGTTTTCTTCAACAAAAAATGATGAATGTTAACTGGCGTTGGTTTTATGGTGGCAATACATTTTATGGGAGACAGTAGGGATATTTATGGGATCACCGAAGGGGTGACTGTGTAGGGTAAGGGTTGAATTTGATTTGTGACTCTCTTGAAAAAGATGTATCATTAATTTACTTTTTGTTCCTTTAAACAATAAGTAAAACATTTATATATATTTATATCTTTTTACAAATCTTAAAGATGACAAAACAAAACAAGAATTAAAACTATTGAAAGCTATACTCTCTGGATTTACTAAGCATTGAATGATTAAATAATTTTTGAAATGATCTAGATCGTTTTACAATGGCAGAAGTTAGTTTCTTTTTACGTTCAAATACTTTATCATCACCGTACAATCCATAGTATAGATCTTGAACATCTGATTTAGATCGTTTAACCGACAAATCAGTGAACCCAGAGGGTGGGTGCCGCAAATCAATTTCTAGACACAAATCACTTTTCTTTAAAACGTGTTGCGGCATTGATTTCGGTGTGTGCGCTTCAGGGCGGAATGCGGCAAGACCCATATTAATTCCCGTGTGCTGCACTGATTTGAGCGGGTTTGGTGGTGTATCCTGACCTGACCCTGGGGTCAGGAGTCTTCCTCTTTCATCACATTTTAAGATAGGCTGACTGCTTTTTCCTGTAGAGTAGAGGCCACCAGACACTCGTGACTCTCCAGAGTGGGTCCGCCGGATATTTTCACGGATTCTCTGATCCCTAACACGAAATTCGCGGATTTCCTGATCCTTCACTTTGGATTCATGAACTGTTTTTTCCCGCATTTTTTGTTGACTAGGGTTTACTAGTATTGTCCCAACATCCAAGGATTCTGCTTCACAGGCGGAAGGCCGTCGACGATCATCTTTGGTGTTGAACTCCGCGAGAGGCGACCTGAAAAAATCTCGCTGCAGGGCGGCGACAGAAATATAGTTAGTGAGGGATGCAGAGACCAATTACCAAGCGTGGGAAACAAGAAGTGTTAAAGGATAAATGTTTAACAAAGAATAGTTTAGGCTTGGATATTAAAATGCACATTGCACATGCCATTCTTGTATGCCTGGAGTAATTAAGATTGTTTAATTTGGTCATTTACTATTAATACTTATACAACAAACAGTTACAAACTAATATTGAAATATTTTTAGTAAAAATCACATTGCCTAAAATTATCATCATCATATAAGATTGAGATTGAAAAAGTATTCACATCTTTAAAAATGGAGATTGTGGGGTCACTTGAAATTACAAGGACGGTCCCTTTAAATGGTAAAGTCAAATAATCTTAAAGGACCCTTTGTCACAGAAAGTTTCAGTAAAAAAACATTGGCTTTCACGAAAATACAAAAGTGTTAAAAGAAAATCTGATAGTTGTGAAACGACCATTTCACTTCCATATTAGAAACATAACTTGGAGTTGAAGCATTAGTTCATTTAAGATAATTACTCTCCCCTTTCCTGCATAGTTAAACATTCTCTAATCTATAAACACTTTTCTGTTAACATATATTTATATTTACTCCCAAATCTTTCATTTCCAAAGTTTTCAAAAGTTCATATGATAAAAACGTGATCGTTAAGTATCATTTTGAAAATTTCAGAAATTTCTTGTCTTCGATATGTTGCATATTCAAATCCCTTCACAATCTTGAAATACAATACAATTTCAAAACAAAAAATTGTTAATTTTTTAACTTTTCCCATGAAACATAATTCTCTCTAAAAGAAATTTAACCAAAAGCAGAGTTACCGAGTCCAATGTTAGTCCTTAGAAATTGTGTGCGCCGCCGTGTTTACTTCTATCAAAAGAATATCAAATTGCAATATGGCACATTTTTTCAGATGATTGATTTTCAAAAGAAGAATCCGCCAAATCGAATTAAAAGATATTAGATAGTTATGTAATACTTCTTAAGGAGAACAAGTATATTTTAAAGTTTCGAGACATTTCGTTTAATGATTCTTCAGATGAATTGAAAAAATAATTATGCTACGGACTTTTTATCCCCTGTTATAGCAGCTACAGGGTGTCTGACGAAACATGACAATTAATTAAGAGGATACTTTGATGACAAAATAAAGTTTTCATAATATGGGTCTATACTTCCCGATAAGTTTATACGTCTTGAAACCTTTTTTAAAACTCACTTTTAATTGAGACTAAGGTTGTAATTTAAAAAAAGCTCGATTCACTAAAGATACCTTTTAAGCCTTTATTTTACTTTTAGTGTAAAAGATGTCATCCCTTTACTTTTTAGAAAAGTGTTAAATTCTTACAATAAAACCCCCATAGTTTCTGTACACAGAAATGCGCAATTGTGAATTGGGCTGTTATTATATCCAGGTTTTTCACTTAAAATTACGCTTAAATCCCGTAAAAGACGACCTTTAGATTGAATGTAAACTGTCCTGGTTGTTAGGACACCCTATGTTATAGTAATTAGACATTCAAGAAATAATCTTAATTACTCATGCATCGGGCAAGTTAATTTACAAATAAAAGACAAGAAGTTACGTATTAATGTTAACGATTTAGATAAAAATCATGCAAATCAAATACAATATTTTCATCGCAATTTAATAAAAAAAATAGAGATGTGAGAAATCATGAATAAATATAATGGAAACAAACTTTTATTTTCTAATCCTTATAACTTTGCAACTCAATGTCGTCGTAGGCGAAAGATATTTCAAGCTATGAATTCTTTTAGATTAAGTAAGCTAAGTTTGAAATATTAAAGGTTTACACCATCAGGGTTTAAAGATTTAAGGAGTAGAAAATTAAAGTTTGTGGAGGGTTTTTGAGGCCTGTAATAAAACATAGAAGAGAGTGATAGACTTTGTTTATACTGTACTGTGATATCATAATTTTGTGTAAAAAACTCAAGGTTATAAAACAATGAAAGTTATTTCAGATGTGTACGCATCTTTTGTACCGCAGTGTACTGTCTCTGGGCGGTAATGTAACACAAGACGATTGTCGAGCCTGACATGGGATCTATCTTTCATATGAAAAATCAATGAAATATTCTGGTCATAGGAAACTATTGTGTGAATTATCAAAATTATCAAAATTTAATGCTTTTAACCTCCTTTGATACTAAACGAACACTGATGCATCTATTCTTGTTTACAAGTTCCGCCCAGAGAGAACTGGTTTTCAGAGTATACGCAACTGCAAGTAAATTTCCTTGCATATAACCTTGAAACAACTAAAGTAAAATGTACGAACAGTTGAAATCTTTAATGTTTTTAATCCAAACTTCTTGCTTAGAAGAGCTATACAGATTAACAAAGTGTTCTGAAATTCTCATACATAACAAAAATTAATATAAGAGGAGCTGCGAGGTCACAAAGTCGTAGCAGTAGAGTCACATAAATTTGACCTTCTCCATAATTTCTAGTGTACAGAGTCCGTATACTACGTCACAGTAAAATGCAAACAACCCCCTATACCCCTCTCTTTAGTTCTAAACTTTTTGGTTTGGACTACAGGGATAGCCAGAAAACTGTAGAATAGGAAGACGACATTGAAACAATAATAAATAGTATTTAATGTGGTTAGTGGTTACCAAGCAAATAGTTTTACTGTTTACTTATCAAATCGCTTATTAGGACAATTTGGCCTATTTTCACTGCACAATTGTAATGTCTCATGTTTATTGCATTTTTGAAAGTCATAAATTGAGTCTAAAAGTCGTATTCCTAGTCCAGAGTTTTCTAGTTATTACTGTGCGAATCTTAAATAGGGTGTTTCAGTAAACTTTAGCAATCAAGCTCCATATACAATATTGGAATATTTTTTTGTCACTTTTTGCACTTTTGGCACAATATGAATGTTTGAATTTATTTAAATGAATCTCATGTTTTCTGAAACAACCTTTTCAGTAGATTTTATTTTACCTCGTTCTTGAAACTTTCTCCTTGGTCTCTTTTTCATCCCGACTTTCCCTTTTCTCTTTGTAATCCTTCTCCTTCTTCTCCTTCCCCTCTCTCTTCTCTCTACCCTCGGCCTGGCTCACGTTGTAGCTCTTCTCCCTGGCCAAGACCAGCCTCAGGTTCCTTAGTAGCCTCGCAGCAGTAGAGGCCAGGTGTGACCTCCGATCCCCCATACTCATACTAAATACAGATTGTTAAAAAATGATTGTTTTCAATTTTATTTTGTCCATAAATATGATTTAGACATTTTTTGAAAAACAAAAAACAGCTAGAATTCACATGTTTAAAATTAAATTTCAATCATTCGGATTTAATAAATTCTTAGAGACGCTTTATCTGGTATTTATTCTGAATATAAGAGAAAGAAATTAGCTTATATATAAATTTCATTTAGTTTTTCGTTTATATTTAGCACACAAAGGTACAAACAACGGGTGTAGGACGTAGATCGGACGCCGTAGGGGTAAGCACATATGCCGCAAATCCATTATATGACGGGATTTGTGGGTCGGAGGTATAAACGGTGTAAAGGTTGCCTTCCCCTATCCTATAAATTAAAGTAATAATGTAAAATATGTTGAGATAAATCAGTTGCAACAATCCTTGACTTTTTTCCTGAAGTAAAACGTAAAGCAGAGTTTTTTGGTTCTCCCTGTATACTAAAATCCTATTATCTCTGTATATACTTATTAAAAAGATAAATAGATAGTTAAGAGTGGACAACTTGATAGTTTCCTTATTTGCATAATTATCTTTTGCACGAGTATATGCAAAATTTGCGCAACTACTTAGCAAATAATATGCCAAATTAGTCCATATCGTGGAGCATAAAAACAAAATTTCGACAGAGGGAAGGAAGGGGGGGGTATTTAAGGGGTAACCCCCCCCCCATGACACAATAAAGCCAGCTATTCAATTCCTGGATGTAAATCAAAGTTACAAATTTGACCTGTAAGGGAAAAAATTAACCATTTTTCATCCCATTTTATTGCAATGTTTCATCTTATGAAATTTTTTTTCAATTTTGAGATTTCAATTAGATACTTTTGAAAATTAAGGTTCCTACCAAAAAAAATTACAATTTCTTTTGTCAGGGGATCTCTAAACATGAGAAGAATATTTTGCACTTTCTACCTGTTTAATGTACTCATACTCTTACTTCGGTGGTACTTGAGTACACCAGGTNTTAAGTTATGTAAAAAAAACTACAGGGGGGGGTCAAATTCCCCCCCCCCAGCAGGAATAGGGTTAAAGGAACCATAAATTTGTTTTATGCCAAATAAATGAATTTTTGATAAAAATATTTGTTTTATATACTTATGCTATTTTAATACGTGTGTATATATACAGTACAGAGCAATATAAAGGATGTAATACCTTGAAGTAGTGGTCGAAGGTGGGGAGGCAGTACTCCCAGAACTGAGGGAGGTAAGGGTTCCCCGCTTTGAAGCCTCACTCTCTGACTCTTCGAACCGCTTCATGCGTCTTTCGTTCCGCACACTACCCTCATCATTGCTCCGCACACTTTCTAACTCACTCCGCTGGCTTCGTAACTCATTAATACTCTCAATATCATCAGGAGTTCGGCCTCGAGGCAGCTCATTCCTCCTCCTAGCATAGGTTAAAGTTCATATCCTGTATGTATTTGCAATGTGACAATCCTATGCATTTGCAAAATGTTCGAACAAAAAATGAATTTGAATAAAATGTCTCCAACCTTCTGTCAAGCAGTTTCCTCTCTGACTCTTGTATCCTTGACTTTGTGCTCCTTGGAGTTGAGATTGAAGATTTGGTGGTTCGGGGGGTCGAGACACACAGAGGGTCAGATACACTGTTAGTTCGTAGATATAGTCTAGATAATATTGTTTCTGTAAGTAATGGAGTATACTTGTTATGCTCAAAACTATATAATGAAGAAATGAATAAACAAGATGAAAGAAGTGCAATGTTCGGAGAAATAATTAACCCCATCAAATAATTCTGATCCAACCCAGTACTTAAGTATGTATATATATAGGATTCACAAATCGGGTAACTCATCCCCTTTAAACTAAATCTATCTATCAATGCTTCCACAATTTTTATTTTTATTTAAATACTTTTGCATAACTTTGCTAAAAAAAAAGAATTGAGTCTTTGCCACAAACTCTGATTTTTTAACCTCTCAGTCTTTTAAATCTGATGGTGCAAACCTTCGATATTTTTTTCTTAAAATATATAAATACATTACCGGTCACTCCCTTTAAGGTTTACCTGTGACTATCCAGACTAAATGAGTCTCCAGTGTGCTCTGCCTGACTATGTTCATGACTAGTAACACTGACAGTATCATTGCTTCGCTCATATTCACTTTTCCGGTCATCAGTCTCTGCCAGGCTTGGTAAAGGGCTGGTCAGTCTAGTTCTCGACACACTGCTGCTTCGGCGAACAAGTTCCCTTGATCCAAGCCTACGACTCCGTCGGTTAAGCCCAGGCAAGGTGCCCGGTAGGCCAGCAAGGCCGGGCATTGACTGTGACCGAGCCATGTTTAAGGATGCCAGACTAAGGTTTCGGGCATGAAGAAGATTCTCCTTGCTAAGTACCCCTTGATCTGCGTTAAGGTCAAGACAGCTGCCACGTAGAGAAGATGATGATGCTAGGGAGACAGAAACCTGTTCTAAAAATGTGACTAGCTGGCTTGTTGCCATCTCATAAAGTTTTCTGGAGTTCTCCATCTTATTAAGCTGCCAGTGCAGGTGTTCAATTTCCTTCTGCAGCTCTCCAAACTTCCTGGGGTTAGAGAACCCTTTAAGTTGGTTGAATTCTTGTCTCAGTTTCAAGTTCTGAGAATACAACTGTTGGCATTCAAGTCGAACCTGGAGGGTTTCCAACTCCTAGAAAAGTCAGTACACAATAAATCAATCAATCAATCAGACAAGAAAGCTATTTATTTAAATTGCTTTCCAAGATCTGATATTTTAACATCTATTTGAGTACTTTATATTTTCCTAACTATATACTGGCATATTTGCAAAGAATGATTACATAGCGCACATTTAACAATGCATTTACACTCCATACCTTCCAAAGGCCCCGGGCTTTGTAAAACTCATAAATAAAACCACATACACATCTTCTTATACCCACCTTTCCTTGATGACCCCCTCCCCTCCCTTGAATATATATTTTCTTTAAACAACATG